CAGTGATTTACGTGCTTGTGTTGACATGATGGGAAAAGGTAGGTGGAAACATTGGTTGTAATTTTAAAAAAAATGTAAGTAAGGAAGGTTGAATTAGAGGGCAGAAAGGGGAAAATGACAACAAACAGTCTGTACACAAACAGAAGTTGCTGGAAAAGCTCAACAGATCTGGTAGCATCTGTGAAAAAAAAAATCAGAGCTAATGTTTTGGGGCCGGTGACCCTTCCTCCGAGGAACATCAACTCTGATTTTTTTCACAGATGCTGCCAGACCTTTTGAGCTTTTCCAGCAACTTCTGTTTTTGTTTCTGATTTACAGCATCCTCAGCTCTTTCAGTTTTTAACAAACAGTCCATGTTGAATTAGCCTTAGGAGGCTTAGGCTTAGGAGTCATTCTTATCTGGAGGATTGGTCATCTGAAGGACAAAGGAGCAACCTCAACTATGGGAGGGTCACCTTGGTCAGTGAATAAGGAAGGGTGCAATGGAGAAAACTATCCCAAATAAACAACCTAACTCCTGGTGATTTTCAGAAGGATGTTTAATTACAAAACTAATGATAATCAGCTAACCTCCACGCCAAGATGGGAAGAGGGTTGGCGTCAATAACCATTAGCAGGGTCCTGACTAACGCAGCCACTAGCGTACAGAATATAAACCATGAAACTGCAGCCAGCATGTGTTCAAATTACAAAAATGTTTAGCGATGAATATTTTGTAAAAGAAGCTTTAAACAACACAACAGAAAGGCTGATGTTCTTCAAATGTGGCACCAAGCTTATGCAATTATCCACTGAGAGACGAAGATGGCCTAGGGCAGAATTTAGATGTGGGAATGGAACTCCAATGGAAAAATGAGGATTCAATATGCTTCCAGATTAGCAATGGTTCTGATGGACACAGGATATGTGCATCAGATCTAGATACAATGTGTGAGTGATTTTTCACAATCTACATTTGTACCTTGAGACTACAGGAACAAGGGTCACTGTGCCAGTGAAGAGGATGGCAGATACATGATATTGGACCTTAAGGTCTAAATAGGGCTTAAACAGAATTGACAATGACAAACAACACCATCATGCTATCACAGGACACAACAACATCCCAGAGACTATTTTGCCCAGTCATAGCCCATGGACCACGAAATGGACTGGTACTGTATACGAATGGTGAAGTGTTATATGATAATATTAAATATGAAATTGTATCCGCAGTTGTGAACTTGACAGGAATACAAATGGCTGAGTATTGAAGTAACCAAGTATCCCTATGAAAATTATACAAATTATTGAGTAAGGCTGTGATTAATCAGCTGGCCAATGTCATGGGCACTACAAGATTTAAGGGACATGCTGCTTTCCACCACCAGTAGCGAGTCATAGAGTCATAGAGCATGGAAACAGATCCTTCAGTCCAACCAGCCCATGCCGAATGTAATCCCAAACTAGACGAGGCCCATCTGCCTGCTCCTGGCCCATATCCCTCCTAACCTTTCCTATTCATGTGCCGATCCAAATGTCCTTTAAACGTTGTAATTGTACCTGCATCCACCACTTCCTCCAGAAGTTCATTCCATATGCAAACCACCCTCTGTGTAAACAAATTGTCTCTCAGATCTTTTTTAAATCTCTCTTCTCTCACCTTAAAAATGTGTCCCCTAGTCTTGAAATCCTCCATCCCAACTCTATCAATATGTCTAATTATTTGACAAATATCTATCAGCTCGCCTCTCAACCTCCTACACTCCAGTGAAAAAAGTCCCAGCCTATCCAACCTTTCTTTATAACTCAAACCTTCCATACCCGGCAGCATCCTGGTAAATCTCTTCTGAATCTCTTCAGCTTAATAGCTATAATGGGTGAACACAGGGACTTCTCTAGTATATTCTACAAATTGGCTCTAAGGTTATGAATTTTAAGGGGATCATAAGATAGTTGCTTGTAGTGGCAGAAAGGGAAAGTGAAACAGCGGTGGTTCTAAGATGCAAGATTGTGACATCCCTATTGAATTTCACACATGTATAGAGACCCATGCTAAGATCATTAATTGCATAATTGAAAGGGAAGAACAAGAGGACAGTACCCAAAATGTCCAGCTGCGCCACATTTACAGCCAGTTAAATGATCAGGCAATTAAGACACAACCTGGCTCTGATTCAAAGTCAGGGACGTAGCAGACTGGATTAACTATACCTGGTTGTGGAGGATGGCCAAGAGTCGACTTCCAGTACTATTGGACATATGTAAGTGATGAACATAGGAAAAACAAGGCATGTCTCAGTCAACACCTCCAACACACTCCATGATACCCTACAGCAATATGAGGAATCAAAGTGGGCCCCAATATCCCATTTTCCTGAAAGACTGACCAAGATTAAAAAGACAACTTGTGAATTGAAATGCAACAGTATTATGTGCTTAAAACAGAACTTTTAGAAAAACTAAAAAACTAATACTGAAGAACATTTACGCACCTGACAAGGTGGAAGCACTGGGACTATGGGCTAAATGTAGATATACACGCTGGATAAGAATAGTCTCTCATATACTCATTGCAGTACAGCCAGTGTTACCTTTAGCATGGGGAATTACAGCATGTTGCACATGTAGAAGGATAGCTCTTAATCACCAAACCAAAATAATGTTAAAAGAACAACAACAGTTGCTGTGACAGGACACAATATTAATAAAGTCTCAGCATCCTGTATTGGTGATCACACATTACTGGAAAGACAGGAGTCTCGGGTGTCAGGAAGCTTAAAATCTGGAGAGAAGTCATGGCCCAAGGGCCTCTCTCAGATCGCTACCATGGGGCCATGACAGAACAGTAGAATGCTGGTTAATTGGACAGCATAACCTAACAGCTGTGCACCCAAATGGGGGGACTGATGTGTAAAATTTTACAGTGCCAGTCAGGACTAGCAGCTAGGGTGTCAAAGCATACACAAATAATGATACAGGTGACTCAGTTAAGAAATGGGAGACAAACAAACAATGCACAGGATAACCTTTTATGCAGAATACTGTTTCATTGTCTCCAAAAGGAGAATACCAAGTCCCTGAAATGCAATTATTATACAGGAACACAATTATCAGCCCACCAGAAGCCAGTGATGGGGCCTTTGCCTATTTAATACCATTGAATTGTAATGAAACATATATAGACTACGCTCATTTGAACCTTGGTGGAGAAGCACCTACTCTTTACAGTCTTGACTCTCTGCATGTGTAATAAAGACACTACCTGAATATTGCAACTGGATTTTGAGTGCTGAAATATTATAACAGAGTATTTCTTCGAGCTTTCAATGATTTTTGCTATGTCTAAATTTTTAATCTTGAATTATGAATCCGTAATTTGGGACATTTTATTTTATGTGATAGTTTAATCTTAAAGATCAGTTTTTCAAGATCTTAAAAATCACAATAATGTATGTGTCAACACAATGTGGAGCTGGAGGAACACAGCAGGCCAGGCAGATTCAGAGGACCAGGAAAGCTGACTTTTTGGGTTGGGACACTTCTTCAGAAATGGGGGAGGGTTAAGGCGTGCTCTGAAATAAATAGAGTGAGGAGAGGTGGGGCTGGGGAAGGTAGGGGGGATGGTGATAGGTGAGTGCAGGTAGGTAGTGGTGGGGATTGGTCAGTGAGGTGGGAGGAGTGGATAGATGGGAGAGAAGACGGACAGATCAAGGAGACGGGGATGAGAGGGAATTAGGTAGGAGAGAAGATGGAGAGGTCAAGGAAGCGGGGATGAGATGGAGATAGGTAGGAGAGAAGGCGGACGGATCAAGGAGGCGGGGATGAGAGGGAGGATTGGTCATGGGATGAGGCCAGGGTTGGGGAGAATTTGAAGCTAGTAAAGTCCACATTGAGACCCTTGGGTTGTAGGCTCCCAAGGCAGAATATAAGATGCTGCTCCTCCAGTTTCTGGGTAGCATCGTTGTGACACTGGAGGAGGACCAGGATGGACATGTTGTCCAGGGAGTGGGAGGGGAGTTGGAGTGGTTCGCGACTGGAAGGTGTTGTCGTTTATCGCGAACCGAGTGCAGGTGCTCTGCAAAGCGATCTCCGAGCCTCCGGTTGGTCTCACCGATGTAGAGGAGGCCATATCGGGAGCAGTGGATGCAATACACTGCATTAGCGGATGTGCAGGTGAGACCAGGTCTGTCTTCTCTCCCACCTATCCGTTCCTCCCACCTCACTGACAAGTCCCCAACATTGTTTATCTGCACTCACCTATCGTCTTCCCACCTACCTTCCCCAGCCCCTCTCATCCCCGCTACCTTGACCTGTCCGTCTTCTCTCCTACCTATCTCCCTCTCATCCCTGCCTCCTTGATCTGTCCATCTTCTCTTCCACCTATCCGCTTCTCCCACCTCACTGACCAATCCCCACCACTGCCTACCTGCACTCAACTATCACTATCCCACCTACGTTCCCCAGACCCACCCCTCCTCTCTCTATTTATTTCAGAGCCCCCTTACCCCTCCCCCATTTCTGAAGAAGGGTCCCAATCCCAAACGTCAGCTTTCCTGCTCCTCTGATGCTGCCTGGCCTGCTGTGTTCCTCCAGCTCCACACTGTGTTATCTCTGACCCTAGCATCAGCAGTTCTTACTATCTCTGATAATGTATGTGTGTTCTTTCATCAAGGTTTGTGTGCAATTCGGTGTACTTCACATCTCTTGTGTCTTCACATCAGTCTTTTAACAGCAGGCACAGATTCTTCACAGATGACATTTCTGTGGTGCAAAAACCCAAATTATTGGGTCCTTACTGAGCTCTAAACTGAAAATGACTGCAATGATGGGTATTTTACATTGCAGAGTATTAAAACAGTATTATAAAGATAGGAAATGTACTGTATGCCCAAAGTATTCTGATGTACATTATGCTTTAGTCAATTCTCATTAAGAAACATCAATGCACAAAACATTTGCTTTTTCTCAAGGCAATACTTCAGGTGTTGTTGATCAAATCATTAAATGAAAACAATTACCTGCCTGGTGGAGAGGACAATGACCTCTGTAGTCCAGAGTTTATGTCATGGTAGAATGGTTGGCTTTGAATTTCTGCAAGGTTGTAACTAATCCCAGTTCCTTGAGTTATAGCCGCTGAAAATACATAATGTATTTATTTGGTAAGACTTCAAAATGGTTGGAATACAATTATTTATTGAAGGAGAAAGGTTAAAACAGACAATTACTGAATGATGACTAATCTTAGAAAAATGCAATTTAAGCATTGAAATTCTATGAAATAATTTGTAACCATTCCTGGAAAATTTGCCAAAAATATGTTCATGTGTTAAGATACTTTCAGCTTTCCCCTTTCATTTCTGAAGGTTTTGATAGCACATACAATTACAAAGGTAGTAGCAGTTCTCACCAAGATCACTTTTAACCTCTATTATTCCAATTCCACTCTGCCTGGAACAATTTGAAAATCTCCATTTAAACTTCAGACACTGGACAGTTCTGATGAAATTAGGTAGATTGTTACTTGGGAAAAGATTGACTCTTGAATACATAGTCTAACTCACGAGTAACTGTTAAACTGACCCCATACTCATCTCACACAGCCTAAATTACACCTTCCCCAGACCCCTTACACCTGCCAGACTGAATTAAACATTCCCACACCGCGCCCCCACCCCCCCGCCAAGGATCTGTATCATCGCACCCACCCCAGCCTGACATGACACATCACCCTTATGCCAGACCCAAACCAATTTACCCCTCTGGCACTGTGTCCCCTACTTGTCTAGCACCCTACATAACTATACCTTTCTTCCTACTTGTGGCATCCTATCTTCGCCCCAGCTGACTTGGTACCCTATCTGGCAAAGCATCCTATCTATTGGGACTTAACACTGCACATCTGGCACATACCCACCACATCATTCTATCCCAGACACTCTCCCCACTAACAGCTGAAACCCTATTTACATGGCCAACTATTCCCCCTACCCATATGGCACCCTACCCTTACAGAACCCAACATTACACCTACCTTATATACTTGCTGTTTAACAGCAACTGTCAAAGAGACTGTTTGGGCCTTAAAATGTCAAAAAAAAACAGCAGTTGACTGATTGAAATGGTTTGCCTTCTTCTAACAAGTCTATGGTATAAGAGAACTGTCAGAATAGAAGTATGGAAAATCTGGCTGCATATCTGATTCAACCAGAAATTTGTAATAATCTTACACTCTCTCTCTAGAGGACTTGTTTACTTACTCTTTTCCTTTTATATGCCTGTAGAAACTCTTACAGTTTGTATTTAACTTTCTGGTTAGCTTTCTCTAGAACTCCTATCCTTCTTTGCTGTTCTTTAAACTTAATCACCTTCAAAATGATGCAAAAGCAGTTCTTTAAATTATGTCCAATTTTCTGACTTGGCATGCATCTTTGCAGAATGAAATACCTTTTCTTTCAATTTCAGACTATTTTTAAATTCCTTAGTTGGATTTGTGTCCTTCCCTTGGAATCGTTTTTTTCTTCTCACTGGAAGATACCTTTTCTGACAAATCTGAAGTATCTCCTTAAATGTCTACCACTGTATCTCTAATCCATAACCTAATTTCCCAGTTCACTTTCGCCTGCTCCATCTTCATTATTGCCCTATTTAAGTTGAGAATACTAGTGTCAGATCCACTCTTCTCTCTCATTTGGATGTGATATTCAATCATCTACTAGATTTCACATTTTTTCTAAAGTGTAGTGACCTGGAATTGCATGCAGTACTGTAGTTGTGGCCTAATCACAGCCTCATGAAGATTCTCTATGACTTGCCAATGTTATTATATCAATATTTCTATTTATGAAGTCCAAAATTACAGACAACTTTTATTCTTTCCTACCAACAACCCACAACTCCTCATTTCCCTTCATACTCTTTGGAACTGTGCCATATCATTGATATTGCCTCTCCCTATCCCTTCTTCCAAAAAGTATCACCCATACTTCTCTGCTAAATATCATTTACCAGGTTAAAGGAACAATGAACATATCAGATGATAACTCTGCCTCAGTGTTCAGGTACAGAGAAGTATGTTAGTGGGAAAAAGGCAACAGGAAAGTGGTGATGATATTAAATATGATAAATACAGACAAAGAACCTTAAGAATTTGCTCGAAGTAGGAAAGACAGTGGTCAAATGCTGCTTTGAGTACTGAGCAAAATAGCAGATATTCTGAGGGAACAAGACAGTTAACAAGGTAACAGCTCTGTTCCCAAATGGAGAAATTGATAAACTAATTAGCCAGTCAACTGAATGTTGGTATTGCATATACTTCTACAGACCATAAAAAAAAGATCAAAAATAAGAGCTGCTAAGAAATTCTTTTGGTGATGAATGAGGAGAATGTGGTAGTATGGCTAGGAAATTGATAACAAAATAAAAAGGAAATACTAGTAGGTAATTGATGTTTATGGTATGGAACAGTCAGTATTAGAACTTGTACTCTTCACAATATACATTTGCAATCTTCAGTTGACTATTGTAATAATACTGTATTAAAAATTTCAGAAGACGCATAAACAGGTACTCTTGTTAACCATATGAAGGATCATGTGAAATTTCATTAGGATATGGGGAAGTTAGTAGATTGGGCGGTTCAATATCAGAAAAAATTTAATGCAGTGCATGCCAAGGAGCCTAAGTAGTGTGACGGACTAGAACAGACTGAAGCTTAACTTCAATGGGAATTCAGCCTTACAGGAAGTTGACATTGATGTGTGGTTGGACATGAGTACTTTCTCGATAACTGACTTTTGTGTAGTGAAGTGGCCATACGGGAAGCCTTATGATTTACATGGAGTGGAATATGTGGAGGATCGAGGATCCTTAGGCTATTTCAGGGGCAGCATATTTACATTATGTGCTACAAAACTGAATCTCTGCAGATGATTCCCATGTCGGAGCTGTAACTGATCACATGTGTGAGAGTGCCTGAGAACAGTCTGGATCAAACTCTGCAGAATATGTCACCCAAGAACAAAAAATAGTCTAGCATAAGAACAGGCACTTGGCCGACTATATCTGTACCAAACATGATACCATTATAACTAATCTCATCTGCCTGCGTATGACCCCTATCCCTCTATTCCATCCTGGTTGATATGTGGGTCAAAATACTTCTTAAATATTGCTACCGTGTCTGCCTGTACCAATTTCCCTGGAAGCACATTTTAGGTACCCACCACACTCTGGTTAAAAACTTTCCTCGCAAATCGCCTGTAAAACTTTACCTTCTCACCTTAAACCTATGCTTATAGTAGTTGACACTTCCACACTGGGAAAAAGACTCTACCCTCTCCATGCCACTTATAATTTTATATATTTTTATCAGGTCACCGCTCAGCCTGCGACACTCTAGTGAAAAAATCAAAGTTTGTCCAATCCCTCCTGGTAAACCTCTTTTGCACCCTCTCCAAAACCTCCGCATCCTTCCTATAGTGTGGCTACTAGAACTGCGCACAGTACTCTAAATGTGGCCTGACTAAAGTCTTATATAGCTGCAACATGGCTCGCCAAATTTTATACTCAATGCCTGACTGGTGAAAGCAAGCATGCTTTTCATTCTCTGACCAATTTATTGACTGGTGTTGCCATTTTCAGGGAGTTATGGACTCCCACCCCGAGAACCCTCTGTATAACAATGCTCCAAAGGGTCCTGCCATTTACTGTATACTTTCCTCTTGCATTTGACCTTCCAAAATGCATCACCTCACACTTGTACAGATTAAACTCCATCTGCCATTTTTCTGCCTAACTGGTCTTTATCCTGAAGTATGCTGTTTGTGATAACTTTTCTCACCATCTACAACTCCACCAACTTTCGTGTCATCTGCAAACATACTAATTAGACCATTTACATTTTCATCCAAATCATTTATATATATGACAAACAACAGAGGTCTCAGTACTCAGAGATAGTAAGAACTGCCGATGCTGGAGTCAGAGATAACACAACTGGTCATGGGAGACTACAGCCCAATGGCCTAAATGTGGATTTTACCAGTTTCAAAATCTCCCCACCCCCATCCTCATCCCATGACCAACCCTCCCTCTCATCCCCGCCTCCTTGATCTGACACAACCTGTCCACCTTCTCTCCCACCTATCCGCTCCTCCCACCTCACTGACCAATCCCCACCACTCCCTCCCTGCACTCACCTGAGACCATCCCACCTGCCTTCCCCAGCCCCACCCTTCTCTCTATTTATTTCTGATCTCCCTTCCCGCTCTCCCTTTTCTGAAGAAGGGTCCTGACACAAAATGTCAACTTTCCGGCTCCTCTGATGCTGCCTGGCCTGCTGTGTTCCTCCAGCCCCACACTGAGGTCCCAGTACTAATCCTTGCGGAACACAACCGGTCATGGATCGTTAATCAGAAAAACACTCCTCCACAACTACCTTCTGTCTTCTATGACCAAACCAATTTTGTATCCAACTTGCCAACTCACCATGATACTTAATCTCCTGGAACTAGCCCACCATGGTAGACTTTGTCAAATGCAGTGAGGATGTGGTGGATATGTTACTACAGAATATATTTTTAAAAGGTTATTCTGTCATGGGATGTAGGGTCTGCTTAAGTGTCCTTGGACTGAGTGGCCTGCTAGCCCATTGAAGAAGGCAGTTATGAGTCAACAACTTTGCTGTGCATCTGGAGTCACATGTAGGCAAGACCAGGTAAGGATGACAGATTTCTTTCCCTAAAGAACATCAGTGAATCAGATGAAATTTTACAACAATCCATTATAGCAGACATGGTCACTATTGCTGAGGCCATTTCCACATTCCAGGCTTATATTAAAGTATACCAGCTATCATGACAGTATTTGAACCCATGTTCCCAGCTTATTAGGTTGGACCTCTAGTCCAGTGACTTTACCACTGTGGCCTCCTAAAGGCAAGAATATTGTAGAAGAAATACACAAGTGACTATTTGAAGGGGCAATAAGCAACTCAGAGATCCATGAAACCTCTTCAGTTCTACAGATTTTCCTAAGATATCTTTAACGAGAAACAGAGACCGTGCCTCAAAGGAGAGAGACCCGGAACAACATTACAACACTATGAAGCAGGGGACTACTAATGCAATGAAAGA